TGGCTGCTGGACCCAGTGTGTTTCCAGCCAATGAGAGCTGCGAGGACTATTCAGGGGGTAGGCACAGAATGTGGAGACCTCCCTCCCCACAAGGGGTGCACCTCACAGAGATACATGCTGGCCCCAGCAGCTGGCCACTTTGAGCAGCGTGTGGGACCATGGCAGACAGGGAATCTGCCCAAGAGGCCCATGGTGGGGTAAATCCAAATGACTGGTGGTCTGGATCCGGCCCATGGACCTTATTTTGCCTGCCCCTGAGCTAGATGATCAGTCTGAACTTTAAATTCGTGACTTATGCCTGGTACTAATATATTTGCTTATATGAAATTGTTTCCTTAAAACAGAATGGAATTATATAAACACAGCAGTGCAGAAAAAGATGTGTACGTACGTACATACGCATGCACTTTTCCTTTTTTTTTTTTAAAGGAAATAAAAGGCAACATTAAAATAAAAACCTGACAAGGGGAAAAATATAGAAATTATAGTCTAAATTAGTGGTCTCCAGCCTTTTTATGCCCAAGATCACTTTTTAAATGTCAGAAGAAGCCAAGATCTACCATCCCATCCTTCCCCCAAGATCCCACCTCTCCATTGCTCATTCTCCCCCCACCCTCACTCACTTTTCTGGGCTCGGGCAAGTTGGCGTTCAGAAAGGGGTCAGATTAGGGCTTGGAGAAGGGTGGGGCGTGTGACCTCCTGCTGAGGGCACTTCCTGTGGGCAGCTTTCAGTTGTAGGTGCAGTGAGGCCAACTGCCTGCCCCGGCTCCACACTGCTCCCAGAAGAAGCCAACATGCCCCTGTGAGAGGGAGGCAAGGGGGCACATGGCTCTGCATGCTGCCCTTCTCTGCTAACACGACTCTTACAGTTCCTTGTTTCTGGCCAATAGGAGCTGTGGGGGCGGTGTCTGAAAGCAGGAGCAATGCGCCAAGCCCACTGCTCCCCACTCCAATGAGGCCACACTGGTTGCTTCCAGCAGTGGTGTGGGGACGCAGCAGGTAGGAGGCCTGCCTTGGGGCAACTCCACTGTGCCACCAAAGATCAGAATAGATGGGGAAAGCCACTAAGATCGACCAGCTGGCGCCACTGGTCTAAACTGATAACAGGAAAAAGCAGGGCAAGATACTCACCATGTTTGAGTTTGGAAAGCATAGATTTTTCTGCATCTACCGATGCACTTTTCCCAACTAAAAGCCGCTTTGCTAGATCTTTCTTATAGAAGGCCTCAAAGACATCTTTTCCTGTAATGTAAAAGATATGATTCGTTAACAATCAGATAAAACTTGTTTGTGAAAACAGCAACATTTAAATGAAAGGTTTCTTAAATGGGCCCCATCTAAAGTCCATGGGAACTTTTCAGTTAACTTCAATTAGCTTTGAATCAGGTACCAAATGAGCATTATGGGCACTCTACAACTAAATGACTGGAAGAAAAACTAAGTCCACGGAGATACTGTACACTTTTTAAAGGCAGATAGACTAGAATCAACTTGGAAGGAAATATTATATTATTACACATAAAATAATTAAACACAAAACTGTAACCCTTACCATAAATGAACCTAAATATAATCATAATTTTATCCAGCATTTTTTCAAGTTCTTCATCAGTAGCTTCTTTGTTGCCTGCACGTAGTTTTGAATCCACATACTTAGCTAAAAAGCAAAACAGGTAAAAGAAATTGAAAACCTGAGTCTGCTGTGCATTCAGAATGAACCTATATTAAAATTGTGACAAAACACAAGATCTTTGTGGAAAGTCAGAACAATGAGCCATTATTATGAACAAATTTAGCAGTGCCATTCTGACAGCATTTTCATATACGCTGTGAAAACAATATTAAATTGCAATAGTTCAAGGTCCTCTTCTCATATGAGTGAGATACCACTTTAAATATGAGACAATGAAAATTCACAAACTTGTAACTATCATAATCACATAAAGGTCCTTAACTAAAGACCCAAGCTTAGTATAGCTAATGTAGCAGCAAAAGAAGGCATTGGGCACCAGAGTAAGATCTGTTAAAATTGATCGAGAAATTTAAACTTGGGAAGAAAAACTGCACATGATAGCTGATTTCAACAGCCAGTTTCAGTTTCAAATGGTGGGATAATACTTGCTAAAATGATTGAAACGCAGAAAATAGAAAACTAAGGCACTCAAGTGAATTTCCACTAAAATGACAGTGATATTCCCCCACAAATGTATACAGTCCAACAGATAACTTAACAGGTATGGCTCAATTACACAAGAAAGTGAGAGTTTCTGTATGCCACTGGGGCTCCATTTACTTTGATGGGGGGAGAGGGGGGGACAGGCAGGAAGGTTTTATGACTGGTGGATCCATAATGGCTCGGGCTGCAGACACCTACCTACATTGCTCTGTGCACATATGAAGTGTCACATGGGGACTCCTGAAGACCAAACTAATTCCACTATCAGGGAAGCTTTTGCCTAAACTCTGTTAGTGATTGACATCCCTCAACTGTTTCCCTGCCTCCCTCTGAAAACAAAACAACCTAGCCAATGAAATGATAAAGGGTCAGACTTCACAACGGTATCCAATGCTTTTTGGAATCTTAATAATCTTTTTCAGAAATATACATTGTGGGAGGAGATTCTACTATCTAGTTATGCTGTCTGTTAAATCTCATTTCATATGTAAAATCCCATCATTCCCCTAATCTGTTTGTCTAAAACCAAAAATCCCAAAATTAATAAAATAATAATAATAATAATAAACCCACAAAAAACAAATCACCACAGGAGAACAGTTTCTATGTAGGAAGAGGGACTGAAAAGTATACCTATCAGTTCAGCTGGTTTATTTGGTCTCTTGTTAATGAAGGTTTCAAAAGCTTCTTTCATAGCATTGACAAATTTCTCATTCTTCAAAAAGCAGACATCAATAATATGATCAACTTTATCCTTAAAGTCTAGCAGTTCTTGGACCATAGTTTTATCTTTTTCTGGGTTAATTACTATAGTGCTACCAAATGCCTGCAAAACAAAAATTCATCTTTCAACCAAAATTCTAAATACCAGATCTGCATGAAATCTTCAAATCAAAGGTTAGATGATTTGCTTCCCTAACACAGTGATTAAAATGGTAGAATGTACTTGCTATTCAGATAGCATTTTATATTTTGAATCGCCATACCAAGATAGAGAGCAATAAATAATAATAATAATAAAAAAAAGATTGGTGAAAGTCAGTGTATAATAGAACTTGCATTTCAGAAGAGATGCAAACACAATAGTAAGCCAACTTTATGGTACAACACTTAGATGATAGTCAAATTATATACAGCCAAAATATTACATGCTGCAAGAACTCATTTCTGCACACTTACATAGGTAAGACTCCCAGTGAAGTCAATTTCACCACAACAGTAATACAAAGAAAGCATTCTCCTACCAAAATTAGGATGCCTGTGAGACAATATTATTAAAAGGTACAGAATCATCTGCCCACTGAACACTGAAGTCAATGGGAGTTTGCCTATGAATAAATGAAAGATAATAAAAGGTCTTTAGTGTTGTAATCTGGTATGTATGTCCTTTGCTTTTTAAGTAGCTTTCCCCCCTAAATCTACCACTCAGTGAAATCAGAGAATTTCAGTTTAGGCTGGAGCAATACAGATAGTGGCACTATACTTACACACACAAGAATACAAATGCTGCATGTATGAAAGTGTATTCCCATTTAATCAGGAAACACACTAAATTTATTGCTGAAAGTTAGAAAAAAAACCAAAAGCACTATGTGCAACACAAGGCATCAACAAACTAACATAACCCCACACGCGATGTTGGCAGCAAACTGCTCTTTTAGACAAGTTCTTACCCTGGCAATACGCTTGATGCTAGTGCACAGATGAAAGTAATCAAAATACATTCATGCAGTCTTCATTGCTAGAAATAGGCAAGTGTTTTTCCTTTGGTACACATAATTCATATGAATAAAAATTGGGATTTAAAATGTTAAAGTGAACTTTTATGAACAAATTAATGTAAATCCAACATGTTAACGCTTTAAAAAAAAATGATAACTGAAGTATCACTTAAGATGGTGGTGTGGACCAAGCCTATATTAGTATAACTACATTATTGAGGAGTGTAGAAAATCCACACACAAATGACACAGTTATCCCAGCTAACCCCCACTACAAACAGCACTCTGTTGATGGAAGACTTCTCCCCTTGCATCGCCACTATCACTTCTTTGAGGTGGAGTACCTATGCCAATGGGAGAAGCTCTTCCACCAGCTTAGGTAGCGTCATTACTGAGCACTGCAGTGCTTTAAGTGTAGACAAAGTACATTTGGCTTAGTAGTGGTTGAGGAAAGAACTTATTACAAGTTTTTTCTGTATATAAAACAAAACAAAAAATGACCGATCCTTAGACAATATTCAATTGATCTAAAACAATGTATCATTCCCAGTGCAATTTCAGAGGTTGTTCAGGTGCATATATGTATGTTGTTTAAAAGTTCCCAGGTCATCTGTTAAAACTAAAGTTGTATTACTAAGCTCCAACACTTGTTTAGACAAAGAAAAATGTTATGGACAATCCCCAGTGATTATATTAAAAAAAAAAAATCAGTATTAGCCCCTGGATATATATCAATACCTTAATGTATTCAATCCAATGCTGTAAGAGAACTTGCACTCCACCTCTGACCCGACTGAACAACTGATACAGAAGAGACAAGTCTTGAATTCGGTTTTCATCAAGAAGGTGGTTTAAACCTGTGAGTTTGAAAGTTTAAACATCTAAAAAAGGTATAAGCATTGGAAGCAAACCATGCATGCCAACAGAATGTAAAGAACTTCAAATCTCATGTTAACCCATCCATATCACTCAATATTTCCATTTCTTCTCCAACAGATTAATTTGTTGGTATTTTTTGCAGTCAAACTGGCTAGACAACAAAAATAGAATGGTAATCTGAATTAGTTCTGTACCTGAAATCCCTGGTTATATTGGGCCATGGTTATCTTGGACTATTGCATTATATGTAACTGTGTCATCACATAAGCTTTGATCACTTATACTTCATTGCTACTTTAAATTCAGTAATAAAGTAGTTTAAGCTCTAATAGTCTCTGGGAAGCTTTGCTTGGAAGCTTAGAAGTCTTAAACTTCAATTTCTGCAGAAAATTAAGTTTTATAAACATTATAAAAATATAATTCTCTTCACGCAGCCAAGTAGCATCTTCATCTTTCACATTAATCACTTGTTCTAAAAAAAAAAAAAAAAAAAACTACAGCAGAGTCCAGGGACATCATGTAAGTAAGAATCCCCGAACACCCTCATTTCTAGTAGCTGCGAATAGGTGATGGCAATGATTCTCACCAGAAGACCTCTCTCCAGACCAACACAACTACAGCATTTGGCAAACACAGATCTAGTAATTTTCAAGTCAAAGGACAAAATATTAAAAAGGAGATCAGATGCACTATTTGTGTAGGCTGAACTCATGTATCCATTATTCACCAGCCATAGAGCAACACATGGACTCACATTGACTGCTTTTACTTTCTTTAAAGTACAGTAGCATGTTTGCTTGCTAATCCTAAATCGTCTCTATTATTATATCTGGCCTAATGCAAAAGCTACCTACAATCATGGTCTTCAAAATGTTACTGGACATCCTCAACTCAACATCTCTATCTGAATTCCAGTTTTCCTTCTGCTTTGCAATGTATTTGAAGACACCATCGTGGCTCCTTACCTCTGAAAAGGAGAATGGGACTTGCCCTTCTGCAAAATGTTCCAGTGCTACTTCATGAATTGAGTAGCAAGGGGTATTAAAGAATGATGTGGCTTGTGTCCTCCCCCAGCACCTGAATGTGTCACTTTCTTTTCAGCACAGGAATGAAAGCCCCGAAGCAGTAATTAGAAACATTTCTATAAAGAAGAAAGATTACCTTTCTGAAGAATGGCTGTTAAATGTTCACCTAGCAGTTGCTTTTCTACAGTAGCAATTAGTGGCTTCCTATAGAAGAAATGTTTACAATTACTTTTCCTTTTTCTATCACTGACAGCTTTAAATCTTATTTGGAGAACAGACTAGCCTGTCTTAAATCTCTATGTAGCACTTGATAGACTCCTGATGCATAACTTAGGACTGTGTGTTTCACAAAATTATATATAAATATATTTAACTTATTTCCCTCAGTAGGTGACCCTATTGTCTGGTTGTTCACTAGAGATTTATAGTAAACTCATCACTATGGTATCTGAGTGCCTCAAGGTGAAGCCAACAATAGGGCAGAAAATTAAGAAATATGTTTCCTCCGATCTCATGGAAGAGGGCATTCAGGCCCTCACAAAGCAAGACAACAGGTATCTTAACCAACTGCTCCTTAAAAAGGGAACTTTGCTAATAATGCATGCAGGAAGAAAGGATCCATTGAAGGAGCTAGCAGCTTCTTATGCTGGTGGCTGAGGTGGTGGTGTGAGGAGACAGCAAGCCTGGAGAAACAGCACACACAGACAGCAGTCCCGAATTCTTCCCCCAAAGAGTTTATCCCTGGGGTTGCTTCCTCATCCAGCATTCCTCAAATGCAGCCACCAGCAGGTGTTTTTTGCTGCCAGGACAGCCTCCAAAGCGTGGGGTGAAGACTCGGGGGGGGAGGGGGGGGAGGAAGGAGAGCAGCAGCCTCTCCCTGCCATACTCAGCTGTTGCTCCTGAATAACAGTCACCAAAGGCAGTGAGATGTACTGCCTTAGTGTTTGTTCTGGTGTTGCCAGAAGAGATTGGCATCCTGGACCACACAGCCTCCTCAGGGGCTCTAAGTAGCACTTCTGGAGACACATGGGGCCAGTATGCACAGCACTGGAAGTAGCTATAGTGTTCAGTCACTGAGATTCTCCCTTGGGCAGTTTACCTGTTCCCAACTGCTGGGGCATGAGGAACCTGAGGAACTCCACAGGCAGCTGGCGAGTTCCTGACCCTCCTCTCGGGGACAGACACTTCCTGAAGAGTTACGAGGGTCAGTGACAGAGACTGGTTTGTCAGAGAGCTGGTGGCCACACTTTGAAGCCACCAAAATATTTATTGGGAGAACCCCTGCACTACACTAAGGGTACGTCTAGACTACATGCCTCTGTTGCTAGAGGTATGTAGATTAGGCTACCAGACATAGAAAAATGAAGCGGCGATTTAAATAATCGCCGCTTCATTTAAATTTACATGGCTGCCGCGCTGAGATGACAAACAGCTGATCAGCTGTTTGTCAGCTCAGCACGGCAGCCATGTAAATTTAAATGAAGCGGCGATTATTTAAATCGCCGCTTCATTTTCCTGTGTCTGGTAGCCTAATCTATATACCTCTGGCAACAGAGGCATGTAGTCTAGACGTACCCTAAGAGGCCTCAGTGGCCTGCTCACTTCCAGTACCAACGTAAGTCCTGCTGCCCATCTACTCAAAGAGGCCAGATGTCCTGTTGCAGGGCTCCTCTCCCTCCTAGTAACCACAGAAGTGGCCCCAGAGTACATCTCTCTAGGGGAATTCCAGCATCCTTGCCAGCCACCTCCTACGCTTGAGGCCACCCCAGAAGATAATCTTCATTTTAAGTTTCCAGGATGATGAATATGTTGTCTGAGAAACGGACATTCAAAACATTTTCTTCTATAAATGGTATTTACCTCCTTGGAATTTTCCCACTGAGATACCTAATAATTATTGCTGGTCTTGCTCTACTTTCATTAGGAAAGTTAACTGAGTACAGGCAGTCCCCAAGTTACGCGGATCCGACTTATGTGGGATCCGCAGTTACGAATGGGGCTTTTCTCGCCCCGGAGGACGGGAGCGGCGGGACGCCCAGATGCGCCGCGGTCCGCCGCCCCCCCTTGGAATTTTCCCACTGAGATACCTAATAATTATTGCTGGTCTTGCTCTACTTTCATTAGGAAAGTTAACTGAGTACAGGCAGTCCCCAAGTTACGCGGATCCGACTTATGTGGGATCCGCAGTTACGAATGGGGCTTTTCTCGCCCCGGAGGACGGGAGCGGCGGGACGCCCAGATGCGCCGCGGTCCGCCGCCCCCATCCTCCGGGGCGAGAAAAGCTATTCCCCCTTGCCCTGCTCTGCAGGGAGACGGGGAGTAAAGCCTTGGCGCACGCCCACAGCGGGACGGCCCGGGCACGCTTCAGCTGTCCTCCTGCGGGTGTGCTCCGCGGCTTTGCTCCCCGTCTCCCTGGTCTGCAGGGAGACGGGGGGGCAAGCCCTC